TATATATATATGAGCGCGTGTAGACCTACGTATGCATGATCATATAATAAAATGTAGAACGAAAATAGAAAGTAAAGTCGTTATATTTAAAACGTACGCAAAATATATTCTAAAGAAATATATTAACATGTGTAAACCCCCTTTTGAAACCCTCATAATGAGAAATAGCTTTTTTTGGTTAACTCTCCTTTTTATTGTATTTTGAGATTTTTCTTTTAATTTAATGCTCATCTTCTCCATCTTCTTAATAACCATTATCTTTTTTTCTCGGTATTCCTAACGATACATCTACGAGTAAGCGTCATTTCTTTTTTCAAATGGTTAAAAGCTGAGTAGGAATCTCGCTGAAAAGAGTAATTCCTATTTTTATTTCTAGTTATTTTTTCGATATTTAGACATGAGAATTATGGTTTCATTAAAAGCATAGCTTAAGAGCATATATCTGAAACAGTTTCAACATTTCCATTGGAAGAATAATATCATTTTAGTCAATATCACAAGGAAAACAACTCCATGTTAACTCAATGGAATTTAGATGAAAGATTCTATTAAATTAAGAATTAAGATTCCCAAAAATATAAGATGGCTAATTTATACGAGCTTTATAATAATGAAAACATATGGAGGAATCTGTGCTACGATCACCGAGTGACTACCGAAACGATCTTCTATTGTTCATATTACTTTTTGGTAGAAGGTAACAAGATTTCGGACCACCCTGAAATTTAAATCAACTTTGAACAGAAGATATAAGTAATCATTGAAATGAAAATTCTAATACATTTGTTGCATAAACATTTGTTGTAAATTGGAGGTGAAACACGCCAATACAATAAAAAAGAAGTAAGTTTTATTAATAAAAAATACCAAAAATATATTTCCAGAAATACAAAGATATTACATTAGTTAAACTCATAATTAGAGAACCTAACTAACTAACTAATAATAATAATAATAATAATAATAATAATAATAATAATATATATATAAACAGACAAAACTCTCATCTACGGAAATCTCCCATCAACTTCAGAAGCAACGTAGAAAATTTGCAGGCAAACTAAAAAAAAAACAAACAAAAAAAAAAAATGCTGGAGAAAAAAAAAAAACAACCCCAAAACTGCTAAATCGTCAGCGATGTATTTCAAAATTTGCGGGCTTAGCTAAATTCTAAATTCTCAAACTGACCACTTGGAAGCAGTGGCAAGCCTTTCAATTGTAAACGAAGACGGGTGTACAGTATAGAAAGTACGATATATTAGCGCGTGCGTGAGAAAGTAGTTGTGAGAAGTATATTATTTTTGTCATTTTGATTAATATATCTATATTATATATATATATATATATATATATATATATATGTTTATAGTATTTACATTATGATCATAACTACTGATAATTCCTATAGGACACATCTTCTCTCTTTTATATATATATGTGTGTGTGTGCGTGTATATATACATAAAATTAGAAATCCTGAAAAATGATCATCGTTAATCAGGTGGCTTGACAGGATATCACGAAGAAGACAAAGTGACAACTGAGTTACAACAGTGCCACAGCGCGTGTTACACAATAGTATTTGGAAGGAGAGAAAGAAACAAGTTGCCAACTATGTATTACGAGTACTTGAAAAACAAAACACCCTATACGACTAAACCAGGGTCGAATATAAATTTCGTCTTTGTTTTATGTGTCAAGTCCATTCAGGAGGTGGGCGATCCTAGCTCTTCACAGCTTCTCATTTTTTGTTGCTTTAATTTTTGTATCTACGTCGTCTCACTCTTTTTTTTTTCATCTATTCACAGAGAAAACGATGTGTGTGTTTCTCGCTGCTTCCCTTTACGTCTTTATAGGCGTTGTGGCATAATGAATAATTACTCAGAATGAAACATAGAAGAACCGTATTCCAGTGGGTTTCGTTACATTCACTTATGAACACGCACTCTTGGGAAAGATATGAATCTTTCTCTTTTCCTTTCCAGCTATGGATTGAATGGCAGGATAGACTGGACCTTATTGCCTTGTTTGGAAACCAGTCTACACCAGAAATATTTAGCTGCTTACTGCTGGAAATCTTCCGCCTAGTCTCTCATGAATCGAAAATGATTTTATTAATTATTACGTTTGGCGTTTGTTTACATTCGTAAAAACAATACGCTAGAATTATCAGCTTCTCTCAGCCGAGTGCTGCTGGCTTAGGGGTAGAATCTCCGACTGACACCGAATCGGTCTGGTTTCGGTCCTGGCTGTGATACAGCGAAGCAGTACTGTCTGCGAATAACACACACACACACACACACACACACACACACATATATATATATGTTTGTATGTATGTATATATCCATATATATGTATATATGAGAGTGAAGGGGATGTCTTAATCTAAATAAATCGTTCACTCGCCAGTAATTTACTATCGCCTGAGAAGATTCTTTGATACACATCGAAAAACGACTGCAACTGTGTGGCGATTTTGACATGTTTTCAGTGTAATATCCTATATATATATATATATATATATATATATATATATATATATATATATATAATGAGACAAATGGAGTATGAATTCACTCTACGTAACATTCAATTTAAAAGGGGCTCGATACATAGTAAATCTATTATTTTAAAACGGTTAAGTTGTTTGCCAGTTTCTTAAAGGGGTCTTTTATTGATCAACTGCAAAATTTATGTAAGAAGCTAAACGAGCTAACATTATGTTAAATTACCTCCCCTTCACTTTTACTTTTGCTTCTTGGTAAGTTATAGTGTCTGATTTCGATACATCTTACGAAACAATGTAACAATCTATATCTGCCCATAAGGAAATTGTCTAGGTTTTATATTTAGACAACTTCGTGTCATGAACCAATTCTAATTTTTTCCGGCGAATTTGAATTTAGCGTAGCTCACATTCGATTGGTTAATAACGGGAAAGCACACAAGTCTATTTTTTTAAAAAGTATTCTGCTTTTTGAAATCAAATTAATCTTTGACTCGCCAGTAGTTTAATATTGCCTGAAGAGACACATTTATGTTGTTGAAACATAATTGTAATTGTGTAGCGATTTTTATAACATGGTTTAATATCCTAAAATAAATAGTCGATCTTTAGTAAGTAATAGTTTTTAGCATAATTATTTTTCTAGATGGATATTGATTATTTTATCGTTAAATATGTTTTCACTTTCACATAATTATACAATTGTACATATATCAGTGTTATTATTATTATTTAATAATAATAATAACATAATGTATATATATAATAATAATATATCATATAATATATATATATATATATATATATATATATATATATATATATATATATATATATATATATATATATATATATATATATATATATATATATATATATATTGATGAGACAGGAGAGAGATCTTGTTTGTAAGTTAATGAACACTGCATTTGTCATTTAATGAGTACATTTTTGAGACACACTGTATATATTTTTTGAGGGAGGGTATTTTATTATTTCACTAAGAGTTCGCCGAATACAAGACCTAAGAGCCTCTCAAAGTAGAGGGTTACTAATTGTGGTTGTATAGACATAAGACTAGGAAGAGATAAGTGCATATTATGGGGATCATGAGAATATGTAGCATAGACAAAGTTTGAGCGTAGATTTGAAGATGTTAAAATTGCTTAGACAAGTGAAGGATCCTTATTAGGAGTCTGTTCCACAAATTAGCCGTTCTTGGAAAGAAGCAATTTAAGTGGAGCTGTGAGTAAGTTTTCGATTTGTCTAAGAAAGGAATTCAATATATATATATATATATATATATATATATATATATATATCTACATATGTACACATACAAACACGTACGGGCGTACATACACATGCGTGCATATACACATTCACAGAGAAGTAAAAATCAACGAAACACCAATAAAAAGCAATTTTTAAATTAATTTAAAAAAAATCAAAAATGAGAAAATCGGCAGATACCTCCTGACTAGTGCACCGAAAGATTACAAAACAGTTTCGTCTAGGAAACTCTAGAGTCGGTGTGCTGATTTTAACAGCAATCAGTTGAGTGACAAATTTTATATTTGTACTAATTATATATGTGTGTGAATAAAAAAGAAATATTTTACTTAGACGATGCGTTTCGCCCTATGATGGACATTGTCAAGGCAAATGAAACGCGATGCTAAGTTCTGATCAGCATAGTAGCAGTATAAACCACAGGTGGAATCTGCGGGTGTTAAGCACAAAATGTACCTGAGCAATCGCTGCAGTAGGGATTTGCTAGCAGCCATAGTAATGGGTATCCTCGAATACAAGTGGCTAGCTATTATTTATTTTATTATATATATATATATATATATATATATATATATATATATATATATATATATATATATATATGATTTCCTATATATGTGTGTGTGTACATACATATATATATATATATATATATATATATATATATATATATATATATATATATATATATATGGTTATTTGTTCAGTTCTATCGATTTGTAATCATTCAGAGAAATGAAAACTTTCTCAAATTTGCTTAACATGTTCTCTTCGTGTTGGCATTCACCGTTGAACATGCCAGTTGCCTTACACATCTTCTTTCATGTCCTTTGTCTCTCAAGGGCGTGGACGATCATGGCCCTCAACGACATCCTATCCTTTATCGCTCTTAGCAACGTTTGTTCTTTTGCTATTCAATGCCTCCTAAGGTAGGTTACCCGTTGTTTTTCTGTGCCCTTCATTCCTGTCTTTTATTGGTCTAAGTGACTTTTGACTCTCTACTATCTCCTTTTCTCTTTGTTCTTCCAACCATTCAGTTCTTTTATGTGCCATGTCCCTTCAGATCGTAGCCAATTATGGCTCTCCACAACTTCCTGTCTTTTATAGCTCTGAGTAACTTTTAACTCTTTACCGTTTCCTTTTTTCTCTTTGTTCTTGCATCAATTCTTATGTGCTATGGGCTTAAGTTTACATTGCATTTGAACACCGGTTCCCGCACGATCATCGAAGTTAAGCAACGTCGAGCCTGGTCAGTAACTAGATGGATGTCCGTTTGGGAATACCAGGTGCTGTAAGCTTGGTTGTGCGAGTGGTTTAATGGATAATGGCTTGGAATGGTAAATCAGAGCGCCGAGTTCCAATTCCAGCTGGGTTCGTTATATTCATTTAGGCACAAATACCTTTGGGAAAGGTATGAATCCAACTTTTCTCCCACTAGCTATAGATTAAATATCAAGGCTTGTATGACTAAACTATTATTATCAAAAAAAATCTTAGAATGTAAAAAATATTCCCAGGCTTTAAATAACCTGTAAAGTTTTAATATGCCGGAGAAAACTAATCATTCAAAAAACTTTCTTTCTTGTAATATGTCTTGTGAGTGCCAAATTTTCCAAGCCCTCTTTACTCATTATGTGTCCTTAAAATCTCTTTTTCTGATTCTAAGTGTCATTTTCGCTTCCATTTTTTTTAAAACCGTTTCCTTATTCACATGTTCAGTCCATGTTATTCCCAATGTAGAATCATATTTTTGTAGCCTCGTTTCGCTTCTTCATCTGTACAGAGATTGTTCGGTAATTCTGATATTACATAAGCGTTCCTCACACCTTTTTTGTGTTTCTAACAACGTTTTAAATAATTAATAGCATCACTCCAACGCAATAATCTCCTTGGTTTGATAAATATAGAAAAAAAAAATCACTGCCCACCATTAATATACCGCACGCAAATGTTTTGTAATCGAAAAATATAAAAACAAAACAGAAAAACAAAAGCAGTTCTTACGTTTTTCATTCCTAGTATTTTTATATTTCAACAGAAAATGTCCTGTCGTCATTAATAAATACGTAAAAAGTGTAAAAAGACAGCAAAAATGTCGCCATATCTTTTATCTAATGATTCTTTTGCATATTTTATTCTGAAATCGGAAAAGGCACCATCTCAATTTTGCTTTCTATAATAGGATCTCGAACTGAGGGTATATTACGATATGTAGTGAGGTCAGTTGGGAGTGACACTGACAATAAGCATCCGGTTCTGCGATCACAGGCAAACTTTCCAAACCAATCTGCCAACAAAAAAGAGGTAAATAATCAATAATAGTCGGAAATAAAGCGATACTGCATAATTGATGGAAGTCACACGGTTCTTTTTAGCACTTTAAACTAGAGATAATTCTCATTGTGTATGTATTTCTGGGATGAGAATTTAATTAAAGACGGGAAAATGTCCATATCTTTGTTGTTGTTATCATAAGATTTTGAGCAGACTCCTTCAGATGTTTATCAATAAACAAAAGGCAATTTCAAAATGGACGAGGATAGATTTTTCTAGTTCAGTTGCCTATGTCTAGGGATATCTTAGTACAACGAAGTTCCATTGAGTCTAAGACTGTACTATCCGGGCCAGGGATTGAATTCACAATTACGACGCCATCAAAAACGCAAAGGAAAGGCTTAATACCTTCGGCCATTTCTCCGACATAGTCAACGTAATGGAAACAACAAAGATGCTGAAATTAGTCCGACTGTAAATCATGTAAACAGCAATTTCTCTATTTACACTATGTTCATTCTAACTATTTTCCTTGTCGCTGTTGTGGTTTGCACAACGTTTTGGCCGTTGCGCCCTCTGACCTTTCTCGAGTGTATATCGATCTGGGTATCTGAACTGAAACCGTTTAATTTTATGTTATTTTTTATGCTATAAGTAAGCAATATTTATTTCAAATCAGATTAATTTAACTTTAAATTTTCTAATTTTACTCAGATAACGTGTAAGAAATATATATTTTTTGGAAGAATTTTAAAATCATTTGTTTTGTTTACAAATTTCTTAAAATTAAGATAAATAATATAATAAGATAAATAAATAAATAATAAGATAAAGATGGCCGCTTTTAAAAAATTTTTAAGAAATCGAAATTAAATTTGATATTCCAATCTACATAATGTTTATCTGAAATGCACCAGACTATTTTACTTACTGCAAATAATAATTTTAATCATTTAGCTTTCAATTAAAGCTAAGATGAAATCTCCAAGAATGTTTTTTCATTTGTAAAAATTCACTTTAAATTTTAGGCATCGAAAATTTATGCCGTAATAGTGGGGGTACCTAACGTACAACCATGTACATTAATTTCGTATGACATGGCAATTCAGCTCAGCTAAATAGATATATCTCTTTGCTCATTTGCCATTTCTAAATCAAATTTTATACGGTTGAATATGCAATAAAATTATACGAATTAAACAAAACAAAACGTGAAGATATTTATTTTCCATTGTTATTCGAGATTCGAACATTTACCTTTCGGTATTTTTTTAAAACTATTCTTTCTGGTCATAGAATTTTGATCGCATAGATTCAACAAAATCTAAAAGAATTCTAAGATTCTATTTTCTTTTCTTTTGTAATAAAGTTCTATTTGACAACAGGAGGGAAACAACCGACAAGTAAAAAGAGAGCCAGTAGCTAAAAAAGTTAATTTAATAGTAAAAGCTATTACTTGTTGGCATTGACAAATCCTCTTTGTAATTATTCTCATAGCTAGATCATCGATCGAAATATTTAGCCTCCACTCTTTTTTTTTTAATATCTTAAACATAGGATTTTCTACATTTCTCCTGGGTTAGAGAGTAAGACGTCCGGTAATTTTCCGAAGCTATTGACAGATTTTAAAACCCGATTTACGTGTCAGCACGCAATTTTTTTTTTTATAAAATCAGAAACAGTGTCAAATTGTGCTATTTCACCTTGCAGCAGATTGATTTATTTATTCACATGACGTTCATTTTTTTAAATTTTTTTTTTTAAATCATTACGCTCCAAGCAAAGTAATAATGTCACTAAGATTTAAGGGTTTCCTGGGAGTGGAAGCGAATGCGAAGACTTTATTAAGGAGGAAGGGAAATAAAAGAAGAGAATTCAGGAATGCAGAAAATGGCGAATAACGTGGCATTTAAATTTTTGAAGAATGTATCTGAAATGGAAGTAAGAAATCGGAAGTGAGGACTACAGGTAAGAGGTGTGAGAAAAAAAACTATCAGAATAGAACTTACATCTAGTTATAGTTACATGTAGATATTTCAACAGTCAAACCATGATAGTAGTCAAATTCAGACAGTCTAGGAAGTCAGAAGGAGATCTCACGAGAACAACTACCATGAAAATATTTGTAGAAAATGACAGAGGGGAGCCACGTTTTGGCCGTGAGAAAGTGAATGAAGTCGAGATCTAAGTTTAAGACTAATAAAATTGCAGGTTGTTCTTTGTAATATTATATTTTTTAAAGAATTTTATTGCGAGTTTTATTCTTTTATTTAGGCCTATATATCGTTACGACTGCTTGGAATGCTGGGGGATGGGTACTTTTATCGAGACATTCTCTCTAGATAGATTAAGAACCGACATTAAATAGCTTCTATATACACTGAAGATGAAGACTTTTTAAGATTGTTTTAGCATTGACTATTTTCAAGCAGGTTCGTCTAGGCAATTTCGCTCAAAATGCCTTAGTATGCTCAAAATATTTTTTCAAGTATAGAGTGACCCAAAAAAACGGGAACTTTTTAACAATCCAATAACACCAAGAGTGATGGAAGAAAAATATTTTATTCATAGTAATTGAAACCTTAAAATATGCCATTTAAGAAACAATGATGGAATTTTCATTTTTTAAAAATTACGTCCTGTAGATGGCGTCCTCTTGTACGAATGCATTCTTGAAATTTTCTGTTGGGATTCCTCATTGACTGCTGCAACATCTCAGCTGGGATACTGTGAATTTCATCTTGAATTCGAAATGGCGAAATGTTTACTTGCTCAAGGTCACTGTCTTGCAGTGTTGCCACTTGCTCATGTCTGGCAATAGGCACTTCAAAAATTTCCATTTTTTGGGCTCACCCTGTAATTCTCAACGTTACTGCACATTTACCCAGGTCAATATTATCAAGAAATTACCTCAGCCATAGTGAGATTCGAACGGGTCAAATAGTCGAAGCACTAGCCATTAAGCCAGATGTACAGAAACCACAAGCGAAGACAAAAATTGTCACATCTTACGTCTCCTCAAAGGATATAAACCGCAGTATAAATATTGGAAAAGAGAGTATCCCTAATGAAATCAAATGCGAGATTTGTTCACCACGATGATTGTATTTTCTTTCCGTACCACGCTGGCAGGATGAGACACAAAGTCAGTTTAATGTGGGAAGCTCGAGCGCGTACACCCGGGCAATGTTCAAAAATAGCCCAGACCTCGCAATCGCCTGTTACGCTGGCATCGGTATTGCTACCGACCCCGACTCTATAGCGCACGAGACCGGACGCCTCTCAATCATATTTTCGCTGTGACACAACTCAGTTGCGCTCTGTCCGCAGAGGCATAATTGATGGATAAAAAGTTGTTTATCTGCCCAAGGGCTGTTGTTCACTACGATGATCGTTGAAATGCTCTACACCCCAACTGCGTTTGGGATAAACTATACCAATCCTTAAATCTTTGTTTCTTTATAATTTGTCAAGGTAACTGAAACCTTAAATATGGTTACCGGTTTTTCTGCTTTTCCTTCTTTTCAGCGCAATAGTATCTTCAGAAATTTACTTTGACGAATAACACATAATATAAATCTATAGAGAATATACTTAAACAAACTATTATAAAAAAGTAATTAATGTTCGTCTGAAAGAACTCATCAGTGTTGGATAGATGTAATATTTGCCTAACAACTGAACCAGTTTCGTATTTTACGCTAGCGATCGGTGTTCGAGACTAGGTTTATTTTATTTTGATCCTCAACTATTCGTTATTTTTTATACATTATTTCCGAGTCGGGAAAGGAACAGTCTCTGGTACGGATCGCATGGTAGAGCGGATGATGGTCTTAGCTGAAGCTGCCCGGCCTTGCGTTGCCTTCATTTGATTTCCTCTCCTAGAAATTGGAAGAACCGAAATAAATTTCTCTTCGCTAGGATGGTCGGTTGGCAGCTTCTGTTTCACTTGGTGTTAGGGCTGATTTCAACTTGAAGGAGGGAAGGCTTCAGTTTGTTATTGAATCTGAGGTGTTGTTTGC